TCAGAATGGTCTTAAGCATTCATGGGCTTTTTCTATTTCCTGGGTTGCGGCCGTCAGTTTCAAGCGCCGTCGTCATTCCGCCAATCGGATGCAGCAGCCTACCAGCGCGCGCAGCATCGCAGCGAATGTGCGCAGGGAGGTGATTTCAGGGGAGAGCACTCGGGTCGGAGTCCTGGTCCTGGGTTTGGAGAAAGCTGATAAGTACACCGCATACCGCTCTATGAAAACACCCTCAAAATTTGGATATTGAGTTAGGTTACACGTTTTCTAACCAAGCGAATCAAAATGATTGACAAGCAGGTAACGATTAGTTGTCATTGCACATCCATAAACCATAATTCATATTCACGCAAAGAGAATTGTAGTCTAAAACACGACAGTGTCCAGCATCGTGCCTAGTGTCTGCACGATATTGGACGACATGAGTGTCGACACATGCTCCTCCAGGTGCTTCTTTGCGTCCTGCCTCCCCACACTCGCAATCGCAAACTTCTCAGTCGACAATGTATCCTCCTCCTGTACTGCCTTGTTGTACTTCTGAGCTAGTTCCAACATGTCCTGTTGAGGACAGGTGTTGGGAGGAAAAGTGAGAGGGGGAGAGTGAAAGAGGGTTGAAGGAGGAGGAAGGGAGAAGAGGGAACAATGTATCCTCCTCCTGTACTGCCTTGTTGTACTTCTGAGCCAACTCCAACATGTCCTGTTGAGTAGGGGCGTTGGGGACGAGGGAAGGGGGAATGGGGGCAGAGGAAGAGGGAAGGGGAAAAGGGGAAGAGGGTTGGGGAAGGGGGGGGCAAGAAGAGGGAACAGCGTATCCTCCTCATGCACGGCCTTGTTGTACTTCTAAGCCAACTCCAACATGTCCTGTTCGGTATGGGCTTGGGGAAGAGGGAAGAGGGAAGGGGGTGGAGGGGGGGAGAGGAAGGTGGAAGCAGGTTGGGGGTCGGGGAGGGGGGGAGGGAGAAGAGGGAAGTATCCTCCTGTATGGCCTTGTGTTTCTGGGCCAACTCTAGCATGCTTTTGAGTCGACTCAAAAGCATCCTCCTCCTGTACGGCCTTGTGTTTCTGGGCCAACTCTAGCATGCCCTGTTGAGCAGCTCGTTCTTCTTGTTGTGGCTTTCAAACGGCTGCAGGGTCAGCCCATGCACCCACTTCTTCTAACACCTTGTCCCTTTTGACACAGTATCTGTTGAGTGGCTTACCCACCAAACACCTCACCTGCACGATCTGTTCGTTCTTCCTGTTGTGGCTTTCAAACGGCTGCAGGGTCAGCCCATGCACCCACTTCTTCTAACACCTTGTCCCTTCTGACACAGTATCTGTTGAGTGGCTTACCCACCAAACACCTCACCTGCACGATCTGTTCGTTCTTCCTGTTGTGGCTTTCAAACGGCTGCAGGGTCAGCCCATGCACCCACTTCTTCTAACACCTTGTCCCTTTTGACACAGTATCTGTTGAGTGGCTTACCCACCAAACACCTCACCTGCACGATCTGTTCGTTCTTCCTGTTGTGGCTTTCAAACGGCTGCAGGGTCAGCCCATGCACCCACTTCTTCTAACACCTTGTCCCTTTTGACACAGTATCTGTTGAGTGGCTTACCCACCAAACACCTCACCTGCACGATCTGTTCGTTCTTCCTATTGTGGCTTTCAAACGGCTGCAGGGTCAGCCCATGCACCCACTTCTTCTTGTGCAGGTTCAGCAGCATCTTCTCCTCCAGCTCGTTCTAACACCACCGCCTTCCAGTTACAGCAATCTGCTCGTTCTAGTGCCTGTTACACTCAAAGAATCACCTGCACTATCTCCTCCTTCCTATCGTTGTGCTGGGCTGAAGGCCTCACCTGCACGATCTGTTCGTTCTTCCTGTTGTGGCTTTCAAACGGCTGCAGGGTCAGCCCATGCACCCACTTCTTCTTGTGCAGGTTCAGCAGCATCTTCTCCTCCAGCTCGTTCTAACACCACCGCCTTCCAGTTACAGCAATCTGCTCGTTCTAGTGCCTGTTACACTCAAAGAATCACCTGCACTATCTCCTCCTTCCTATCGTTGTGCTGGGCTGAAGGCCTCACCTGCACGATCTGCTCGTTCTTCTTGTTGTGGCTCTCGAAGGGCTGCAGCGTCAGCCCGTGTGCCCACTTCTTCTTGTGCAGGTTCAGCAGCATCTTCTCCTCCAGCTCGTTCTTGCGGTAGTTGATGCCGATGGAGTAGTAGTGCCGGTTGAGGCCGTGGATAAGGGCCTGTTGGGGGGGGGGGGGTTGAGGAGACGGGACCAGAGAAATAAGGGAGGGAAGAAGCAGGCGAAAGGGGAGGGCGAAATGGTGGAAAGAGAGGGCAGAAAAGGGGAAAGGGGAGGGCGGAAGAGGGAAAGGAGGAAAATTCTTCTTGTGCAGGTTGAGCAGCATCTTCTCCTCCAGCTCGTTCTTGCGGTAGTTGATGCCGACGGAGTAGTAGTGCCGGTTCAACCCATGAATCAGCGCCTGTGGGATATAAGAAGGGCAAAGAGAGAAAAACGAGGTTCATTTCTGCTCTTCCTAGTTGAGGCTCCGATGGAGTAGCAGTGTCTGTTGAGGCCGTGAATAAGCGCCTGTGGAGGGATTGCAAGGAGGCAAGGAGCAGGGAGATGAGGGAAGGGAGGGGCGGAAACGGGAACAGAAAGGGGGAAGGAGGGAGGGGCGGATTGGGACAGCAGGGAGGTGAAAGGGAAAGGGGGAAGGCTTTTTCTCTGCAGGTTAAGTAGCATCTTCTCCTCCAGCTCGTTCTTGCGGTAGTTGATACCGATGGAGTAGTAGCGCCCCCCCAGCATCATGGTCTGTGGGTTGATGAGACGGAACGCGTCGATGGATGGATACCGTGTTGCACATCCACCTATCACAGTCAAGCCAGGACCATATGACTCCGTACCTGGATGGACGGCTTGTGCAAATGCCCAAGGTTGGAAGTGGTTTGGCGGGGTTCCTGCCTCAGCATCATAATATGAGGGTTGATGAGGCCGAGAGTGGCTGGAGGATAAGAGTCCACATACCTGGATGGACGGCTTGTGGAGATGGCCTAGGTTAGAGGTGGTTTGGCGCGGTTCCTCCACCAAAGGTCTGTGGGTTGATGAGGCAGAACGCGTTGATGACCACCTTGCCCTTGACTGACAGCCCAGGCATGGCCTGCTGGCGTCTGTCACAGTCAAACCAGCCGCTCAAGACTCTCATACCTGGATGGACGGCTTGTGGAGATGACCAAGGTTAGAGGTGGTTTGGCGCGGTTCCTGCCCCAGCATCATGGTCTGTGGGTTGATGAGGCAGAACGCGTTGATGACCACCTTGCCCTTGACTGACAGCCCAGGCGTGGCCTGCTGGCGTCTGTCACAGTCAAACCAGCCGCTCAAGACTCTCATACCTGGATGGACGGCTTGTGGAGATGACCGAGGTTAGAGGTGGTTTGGCGCGGTTCCTGCCCCAGCATCATGGTCTGTGGGTTGATGAGGCAGAACGCGCTGATGACCACCTTGCCCTTGACTGACAGCCCAGGCGTGGCCTGCTGGCGTCTGTCACAGTCAAACCAGCCGCTCAAGACTCTCATACCTGGATGGACGGCTTGTGGAGATGACCGAGGTTAGAGGTGGTTTGGCGCGGTTCCTGCCCCAGCATCATGGTCTGTGGGTTGATGAGGCAGAACGCGCTGATGACCACCTTGCCCTTGACTGACAGCCCAGGCGTGGCCTGCTGGCGTCTGTCACAGTCAAACCAGCCGCTCAAGACTCTCATACCAGGATGGACGGCTTGTGGAGATGACCGAGGTTAGAGGTGGTTTGGCGCGGTTCCTGCCCCAGCATCATGGTCTGTGGGTTGATGAGGCAGAACGCGTTGATGACCACCTTGCCCTTGACTGACAGCCCAGGCGTGGCCTGCTGGCGTCTGTCACAGTCAAACCAGCCGCTCAAGACTCTCATACCTGGATGGACGGCTTGTGGAGATGACCAAGGTTAGAGGTGGTTTGGCGCGGTTCCTGCCCCAGCATCATGGTCTGTGGGTTGATGAGGCAGAACGCGTTGATGACCACCTTGCCCTTGACTGACAGCCCAGGCGTGGCCTGCTGGCGTCTGTCACAGTCAAACCAGCCGCTCAAGACTCTCATACCTGGATGGACGGCTTGTGGAGATGACCGAGGTTAGAGGTGGTTTGGCGCGGTTCCTGCCCCAGCATCATGGTCTGTGGGTTGATGAGGCAGAACGCGCTGATGACCACCTTGCCCTTGACTGACAGCCCAGGCGTGGCCTGCTGGCGTCTGTCACAGTCAAACCAGCCGCTCAAGACTCTCATACCAGGATGGACGGCTTGTGGAGATGACCGAGGTTAGAGGTGGTTTGGCGCGGTTCCTGCCCCAGCATCATGGTCTGTGGGTTGATGAGGCAGAACGCGTTGATGACCACCTTGCCCTTGACTGACAGCCCAGGCGTGGCCTGCTGGCGTCTGTCACAGTCAAACCAGCCGCTCAAGACTCTCATACCAGGATGGACGGCTTGTGGAGATGACCGAGGTTAGAGGTGGTTTGGCGCGGTTCCTGCCCCAGCATCATGGTCTGTGGGTTGATGAGGCAGAACGCGTTGATGACCACCTTGCCCTTGACTGACAGCCCAGGCGTGGCCTGCTGGCGTCTGTCACAGTCAAACCAGCCGCTCAAGACTCTCATACCTGGATGGACGGCTTGTGGAGATGACCAAGGTTAGAGGTGGTTTGGCGCGGTTCCTGCCCCAGCATCATGGTCTGTGGGTTGATGAGGCAGAACGCGTTGATGACCACCTTGCCCTTGACTGACAGCCCAGGCGTGGCCTGCTGGCGTCTGTCACAGTCAAACCAGCCGCTCAAGACTCTCATACCTGGATGGACGGCTTGTGGAGATGACCGAGGTTAGAGGTGGTTTGGCGCGGTTCCTGCCCCAGCATCATGGTCTGTGGGTTGATGAGGCAGAACGCGCTGATGACCACCTTGCCCTTGACTGACAGCCCAGGCGTGGCCTGCTGGCGTCTGTCACAGTCAAACCAGCCGCTCAAGACTCTCATACCTGGATGGACGGCTTGTGGAGATGACCGAGGTTAGAGGTGGTTTGGCGCGGTTCCTGCCCCAGCATCATAGTCTGTGGGTTGATGAGCCGGAAGGCGTCGATCACCACCTTGCCCTTGACTGACTGAATAGGATCCACCACGACAGCCACTGCCCGCTGGTTCAGCGCCTCAAAGCTCTGATGGAAGGGGGCAGCGGCAAAGGGAAGTGGGAGGTGACCACCTTGCCCTTGACTGACTGAATAGGATCCACCACCACCGCCACCGCCCGCTGGTTCAGCGCCTCAAAGCTCTGATGGGAGGTGGAGGAGGGTGATAGGAGAGGAAGTGGGGTTGAAAGCATGAAAGGCGTGAATGACCACCTTGCCCTTGACGGACCGAATCGGACCCACCACCACTGCCACTGCCCGCTGGTTCAGGGCTTCGAAGCCCTGATGGGGAAAGAGGTGGGGACGGAGAGGGGAGAAGGGAGGGAAGAGAGAGAGAGAAAGGAGAAGGGAAAGATGGAGGAGTGGTGGAGGCGTTGATGAGGCAAAAGATGTCAACGACCACCACTTTGCGCTTGACTGGCTGAATGGGTTCCACCACCATCACTTTTGAGTCGACTCAAAACTCGCGAGTTGACTTTTGAGTCGACTCAAAAGTCAACTTGACTGGCTGAATGGGTTCCACCACCATCACTTTTGAGTCGACTCAAAAGACACGACGTCAGTGACCACTACTTTGCGCTTGACTGGCTGAAAGGGGACCACCGCCGTCACCGCCGTGGCGACAGTGGCAGAAGCTTTTTTGAGGCGCCTCAAAAATCACTGCCCTCTGGTACAGTGCCTCGAAGCTCTGATGGGAGGGGGAGGAGGAGGGTGGGAGGGAGGAGTGGAAGAGGGAGTGGTAAGGCAAAAGGCGTCAATTGAAAACCATGCCCCAAATGGGCTTGGGCTGAACAGAGAAGCAGAGCGGACACGACCGACTTCTCTGTTCACCTTTGAGTCGACTCAAAAGTCAGAGAAGCAGAGCGGAGAAGACCGCCTTCTCTGTTCATGGGCACGGAGAATCCTGGGCTTTTCCACATCCATGCACGGATGTGCACGAACCGAGAAGCAGAGCTGAGAAGAGGGCGCGGACATACTGTTGGAAAACCCAACAGCCCCTCCTCATCCCCCAGGTCTGCCTGGTTTGGTTTGATGCCCGTGCCTTAGAGCCAGCTACGAACAGCCAGTGTATGTATATTATGACAGATACGAATGCCAAAAGTTGCTATAGCTGAACGAGCATACCTGCTGTGTGTTGATGTCGACGCCTGACAGCCAGCAGCCAAAGCCTGGATGCGAGTGGTACCACCCAACCACCATTTCAGGCCTGGTGAAGGTAAGAAGAGAAGGGAGAAGGGAGAAGGAGGAGCGGAGGGGAGAGGGTGCGTGCATTAGGAAGCAAGGGACAGAGAGAGAGACAGCAGCTGAAGCCTGGTTTGAGTGGTACCAGCCAACCACCATCTCAGGCCTGGACAAGGGAAGAAATGGGGGAAGGGAGGGTGGACTCAAAAGTATCATCAAGCCACAATGCCGCATCGGATGTTAAAGCACATCGGCAAACTTTGCCGTTGCTGCTGGCCGCTCCCACTGTCGTGACCGATGCTGCCCGCCCCTCTGTACCTGCCCATGTGTTATCGCCTGTCCGTCTGCTTGCAAACATCTTTTCACCTGCCCGTTTGTTTGAGCGTGTCGAGGCATCTTGGTGTAAAAAACTGGATCTACCGCCTCGACACTCACGTCTGTTCCGCGCTGAGGCATGGCGAACACATCAACCACTCAATTCCTTTCTGACCAGCCTACCTGTAATTTCACCTGCCTGTCTATTTGAAAACATTATTTCACCTGCCCGTCTGCTCTTCTCACCTGCCCGTCTGCTCTTCTCACCTGCCCATCTGCTCTTCTCACCTGCCCGTCTGCTCTTCTCACCTGCCCGTCTGCTCTTCTCACCTGCCCGTCTGCTTGAGCATGTCGAGCATCTTAGTTTGAAAAACTGGGTCCACCGCCTCGACGCTCACGCCCGTGCCGCTCTGAGGCATGGCGAACACATCAACAACCCGGACAGTATAGTCGTCCACAAACTCGCCCAGCATCAGACCCATGACCTCCATGGGCACTCCCGCTCGACCTGACAAGGTGGGTGGGGCAAGGAGAGAGCACAAGGGAACAAAGCCGCTCTGAGGCATGGCGAACACATCCACCACCCGGACAGTGTAGTCGTCCACAAACTCGCCCAGCATGAGACCCATCACCTCCATGGGCACTCCCGCTCGACCTGGCGGTAGGAGGAGAGAAAAGGAGAGACAATATGAGGCACGAGGCATGGCGAAGACGTCAACCACCTGCACGGTGTAGTCATCCACGAACTCGCCCAGCATCAGACCCATGACCTCCATGGGCACTCCCGCACGCCGTGCAAGGTGGACGGGACAAGGAGAGAACACAAGGGAGCGACACACAGCTTTGAGGCAGATGAGGCATGGCGAACACATCAACCACCCGCACGGTGTAGTCGGCTAAAAATTCGCCCAGCATCAGACCCATGACCTCCATGGGCACTCCCGCACGCCGTGCAAGGTGGATGAGCAAGCGGGAATCCGGCAATGTGTGGGGGGGAATAAGCACGCTTTGATGCATGAGGCATGGCGAACAAAACATCAAACACCCGGACTGTGTAGTCATCCACGAACTCGCCCAGCATCAAACCCATGACTTCCATGGGCACTCCCGCTCGACCTGAGAGAAGGGAGGGAAGGAAGGGACAGCACGTGTGGAAGGGAAAGAAACTGCTCTGAGGCATGGCGAAAACATCAACCACTCGGACAGTGTAGTCATCCACGAACTCGCCCAGCATCAAACCCATGACTTCCATGGGCACTCCCGCTCGACCTGAGAGAAGGGAGGGAAGGAAGGGACAGCACGTGTGGAAGGGAAAGAAACTGCTCTGAGGCATGGCGAAAACATCAACCACTCGGACAGTGTAGTCATCCACGAACTCGGCCAGCATCAAACCCATGACTTCCATGGGCACTGCCGCACGCCCTGAGGCATGCATGGCGAACAGATCAACCGCCCGGACTGTGTAGCAATCCACGAACTCACCCAGCATGAGACCCATCACCTTCATGGGCACTCCCGCTCGACCCGCAAGGTGGATGGGGCGCGGGGATACAGTGCGTGCGTGTAGAGGCATTGGTTATGATCTACGATTTCGAGACCTGAACAAAAGCCTGACACATCTGATTTGAGTAACTGACAGATCGGGTTCGAGAATTGGACATAGCCAAATTGAAAATGTGAAACGCAGATTTGAGAATCCGATAACACACGGTTTACGCATCTCTAAGAGAGAGCGCGACGATGTGCACACCTGCTCCGACATGCCATCACGGGAACGTCCTTAATCGCTGCTGATCCGATGGACCACAGTGCGTAGCTAAATTAGGGTAACTTTTGAGAATTCTCAAGAGTGAGCCCATTATAGTGCGTAGCACGGACCGTGTTCATAGACCAAGCTCGGACGTCTCAACTACGTGAACGTCTTTAATCGCTACTAATCTGACGCACCACCGTGTTTAAGCATCTTCGGTAGCGCGAGCGACGAGATGTAAACCTGCTCCGACGTGTCCACCATGCGAACGTCTTGACTACTAATCTGACGCACTACCGCGCTTAATTACGCACCGTGTTTAAGCATCTTCAACAGAGGGAGCGATGAGATGTACACTTGCTCCGACGCGTCGACCATCAGCACGTCTATACTCGTTATAATCTAAACGCAACATCATCCTAATGCACGCACCGTGTTTAAGCATCTTCAACAGAGCGAGCGACGAGATGTACACCTGCTCCGACGTGTCGACCATCGGAGCGTCCGGCTGGGGCCCCATGCCTCCCCCCGCGCTCTGGAATATCCGCTGCAGCCGCTCCATGATCTAAATCCGGCAAACGACCGCCGTCCGATCTGGGTTTGCGAATCTCCAAGCGCGAAGCCTGACAAACGACGGCCGTCGGATCTAGACTGGCGAATTTGAGGAATTCGTCAGAGCGCTTGTGGCATATGCAGCTTTCTCCACAGAGGACGGACTAATAGTCTGTCTGAGCTAGACTTGTGAAAATCTGCTGAGAAATTATGGAGACTGGCCTCACCAGTTGTGATTGTGTGCGCTTCTGAATCCCCTTCGATCTCTGAGCATGTTCCAAAACGCTGGTATTCCTCAATATCCTACCCAGCCAGTCTATACACTTTATTGACCGTTATCAAACGTGAAGCATCTCGCTGAGACGGATTCAGTCAAGCAGGATGTTACTCGCCAGTTACGACTGCCGATGTCTGTACATTCCTGTAATGTATATGATATCAAAAAAAAAAAAAAAAGGATGTTACTCTCGATATGGAGGGATCTCGTGACGCGCTACACGTAAAAAAATACTGGCAGTCATATCGGAGGACTACTACCGGTGCATACATGGAAGACAGGTTCATTGTTGTTGGACAAATAACTTTCAACACAGCAAGCACAACTCCAACGAAAACAATAAATTAAGACAATCTATAATCGAACTTGAACGCCTTATTTCCCATTTCCATACCCATATTTTCAACCCCCTACCTCCCCCGTCATTCCCCTTCCCCTTCCCCGTACACTCCCCACTCAAGATCTTTTAGTGCGTTGTGCTGCACAATTCTGTGAACTATCCTTCAAGCAAAGAAATTGCACCAGAGGCTCGTCCACTGGTAATCAGGTCTCTTATCAGGAATATTTTTTGCTCCGGGTTTGGAATGAAGCCTTCTGGGTCCAAGACACGTGGAACGATGCGATCACACACCAACGCAGCCGGCGTGGTTATCCCCTGCCAAAAATTGAGTCGGTAAAGAGCATGGCATGTACATTTGTAGCATATATTGTATGTACATTAGTGCGCAAGTATTTTTTAAGGTAAATGGGAAGGGTTAGGCTTTCCTCCTAAGTTCATGCAAAAACCCAAGGACAGGGAATGAAGAACAAAAGAAATAATAAACTCCTTCTAATGTAGGTGAAATTTACACACACGGATTGACTCATGTAACCCTCCATGCACCCAATCCAACTCACCTTATATCGATTATAATTCATTTTCCTTGCAGAGATATTCACGCCTTCATCCGCCGGCTTAACAGCAGCGTGCGGCTGTAACACGTCCACGCGCCTGGGGTTGAAGAGCAACCGGCGGTAACCAGCGGTGCCCACGCAGTGGTCTATAGCTGAGGCGTTGGTGGTGGCGTGGGAGCAGGTGGGGGTGGGCATGCGATACACCATCTGCTGTGCCAGCCACTCCTCTCCTGCAACTGGGTTGGGGGATAGGGAGAAGGAGCCAGAGGAATTATGAGTGGTATCAATGGGTTCAGAGCGGTGCTTCTTTGGTGGTGGTGGCGTGGGAGCAGGTGGAGGTGGGCATGCGATACACCATCTGCTGTGCCAGCCACTCCTCTCCTGCAACTGGGGATTGGCGAAATGGGTAGGGAAGAATGTATCAGTGGTATCAGAGAAGACAGAGCAGTACTGTGGTGGTGGTGGCGTGGGAGCAGGTGGGGGTGGGCATGCGACACACCATCTGCTGTGCCAGCCACTCCTCTCCTGCAACTGGGGTGGGGGAAAGGGAGATAAGGTAGGGGTGTTAAGAGTGGTATCAGTGGGTTCAGAGCGGTACTGTGGTGATGGTGGCGTGGGAGCAGGTGGGGGTGGGCATGCGATACACCATCTGCTGTGCCAGCCACTCCCCCCCTGCAACTGGGGTGGGGAATAGGGAGAAGGAGGCAGAGGTATTATGAGTGGTATCAATGGGTTCAGAGCGGTACTGGGGATTCAGGAAGGGGTTCAGGAGGGGTTTCCAAGCGGTTTAAGAGGGCTTTCAGGGGGGTTGTGTGCGGTTGGAACACCTCCACGCGCCTGGGGTTGAAAAGTAACCGGCGGTAACCAGCAGTGCCTAGGCAGTGGTGGCGTGGGAGCAGGTGGGGGTGGTGCGGTGATGGTGCAGCGACATGCATCCATTGAATTGAATACCAACGAGAGCTCTTCCAACCAAAGGGAGATTGGAGAGTTGATGCATGCAGTCACAGCGTCTTTTGAGACATCTCAAAAGTAGTCTACTCTCACCAACAGCACCAGCACCAGAAGGTGGGTGGTGCGGTGGTGGTGCAGCGACATGCATCCATTCATTCGAAGACAAACAAGAGTTCTTCCAGCCCAAGGGAGGTGGGAGAGTGGATGCATGCTGTCACTACAGCGCCTACTCATCAGCAGCAGCAGCAGCAGCAGCAGCAGCAGCACAGCTTGATGTTCCACTCGAACGACCCCACTGACAGCCATGGGGCGCCCTTGTTGACTTCTAGTGAAATGCGCAGTGAGAGGCTGCCGTTGAAGACAAACAGGAGCTCTTCCAGCGAGTGGGTGGGAGATTGGAAAGCTTGGAAAGCCCAAGAATGGATTCGCCTCAGCGTCTACTCACCAGCAGCAGCTGCAGCAGAAGCAGCAGAATCATTAGCGGTACCAGCAGGGGGGGCACACAGCTTGATGCTCCACTCGTACGACCCCACTGACAGCCACGGTGCGTCCTCGTTGTCCTCCAGTGCCATGCGCAGCGACAGGCGGCCGTTGAAGACAAAGGGTAGTTCTTCTAATGTGACGAAGGTGGCCCAGCGGGAGGTGAAGCGCGTGCGGTAGAGGCAGTCGTTCGTTACAAGCACATCCAGCTGTGCTGAGAGGCTGTAGTGAAGGTGGGATGGAACAGACAGACAGAAAGGGGGGAAATACAAGGAAGACGTCCGGGACGTAAAGCGCGTGCGGTAGAGGCAGTCGCTCGTTACAAGCACGTCCAGCTGTGCTGAGAGGCTGTAGTAAAGGGAGATAGCAGAGACAGAGGGACCGGAAGAAGGGCACATGGGGGAGGGAGAAATGGGCTGGTGACTTGACTTCTGATTTTTGAGTCGACTCAAAAGAAATGGGCTGGTGACTTGACTTCTGATTTTTGAGTCGACTCAAAAGAAATGGGCTGGTGACTTGACTTCTGATTTTTGAGTCGACTCAAAAGAAATGGGCTGGTGACTTGACTTCTGAGTCGACTCAAAGTCAGCTTTTGAGGCGCCTCAAAAGACTTCTGATTCGACTCAAAGTCAGCTGCGTTGGATGGAAGGAAGTGGTGAGAGTGCGATAGCAGAGAGAGAGAGCGACCAGAGGAAGAGAACAAAAGGATGGAGAAATTACAAAAACAAAGGACAGAGAGGAAGAGCACATAAGCATCGTTAGAGAAGGCTCATAAGAATGAATGAATGAATGAAGAAGGGCTCATTCATATGAAAGGCACAAAACGAAGTCTCGTTTTAGTAGACGAGCCTTAGAGCTGGTTTTTGAGCCTTCAGGAAAGAATGAAGGAAGAAGGGCGCACAAAACGAAGTCTCGTTTTAGTAGACGAGCCTTAGAGAAAGGATAGAGAAAGGGCTCATAGTGTTGTGCGTTAAGCAATCGTCCATTTTTTCACTTACTGTGACAAGCCCATGAGAGGCAAGATCTGGACCATCCCTGCAGTGACATACGGCCTTCAAGCCTGCCTCAGCAGCTCGTCCACTCCTCCCCCGTCGTACACGAGAAAGCTGTCGGCTTCGTTCTCTCCATTCCCTCCCTTCTCCCTTCCCACTTACTGTGACAAGCCCATAAGAGGTACGATTTCGACCATCCCTGCAGTGACGTACGGCCTTAGCGCCTGCCTTAGAAGCTCGTCCACTCCTCCCCCGTCGTATACAAGAAAGCTGTCGGCACTGTAATAAGTGAAGAGCTGAATCTGCTCCAGCACTCGCTCTGGCCGCACCTGATGGTGGGAGTAGGGTATGCAAGGAGCAACGCAAAACAAACAAGCCTGTGTAAATGAGAACGCTAACAAGGAAGCAGCTAGGTGACTTTTGAGTCGACTCAAAAGTCACCTCAAGGAAGCAGCTCGTCCACTCCCACGCCTCCCCCATCGTACACAAGAAAGCTGTCGGCACCGTAATAAGTGAAGAGCTGAATCTGCTCCAGCACTCGCTCTGGCCGCACCTGATGGTGGGAGTAGGGTATGCAAGGAGCAACGCAAAACAAACAAGCCTGTGTAAATGAGAACGCTAACAAGGAAGCAGCTAGGTGACTTTTGAGTCGACTCAAAAGTCACCTCAAGGAAGCAGCTCGTCCACTCCCACGCCTCCCCCATCGTACACAAGAAAGCTGTCGGCACCGTAATAAGTGAAGAGCTGAATCTGCTCCAGCACTCGCTCTGGCCGCACCTGATGGTGGGAGTAGGGTATGCAAGGAGCAACGCAAAACAAACAAGCCTGTGTAAATGAGAACGCTAACAAGGAAGCAGCTAGGTGACTTTTGAGTCGACTCAAAAGTCACCTCAAGGAAGCAGCTCGTCCACTCCCACGCCTCCCCCATCGTTCACAAGAAAGCTGTCGGCACCGTAATAAGTGAAGAGCTGAATCTGCTCCAACACTCGCTCTGGCCACACCTGATGGGCATGGAAGAAGACACATACATACAGCAAGTCAAGTCAGCAAGAGACAAGCCCGTCCACCCCAACGCCTCCCCCGCCATACAGAAGGAAGCAGTCTGCGCCACAGTATGCGAAGAGCTGAATCTGCTCCAACACTCTCTCTGGGCGCACCTGATGCGGTGACAGGGAAGGATGGGGGAGCGTGGAGGGAGAGAAATACATACAGCAAGTCAAAAAAGGGACAGACTCGTCCACTCCTTCCCCATCATACAAGAGGAAGCTGTCAACCAGCGGGGCAGTGGCATGTTTTTGAGACGTCTCAAAAACACTCTCATTTCACGAAGCTGTCAACCAGCGGGGCAGTGGCATGGGGGGGTCAAGAACGACAAGGACATTATCAGAACACATAATCGCATAGTAGCTCACAGCAAAGCACATTACCACACTGGGCAACACTGCACCGCACTGTATCCCGTAGCAGAGAACTCACCGGTTGGGTGATGAGTTGAGTGCAGACCGTTAGCCAGTGAGGGAGAGGAGTGGGTGGGTCAAGAACCAAAAGATCATCAGAGGACAAAGTCGCATAGCAGCATACAGCAGCAGAGCACATAACTGCACTGTAAATGCACAGCCCACATTATATCGCGTTACCTCCTGTACCTTACATTACTGCACTGTATGTGAACTCACCGGTTGGGTGATGAGTTGAGTGCACACAGTGAGCCAGCGGGGGAGCGGCGTGGGAGGGTCAAGAACCAGAAGGCCGTCCGAACCAGAAGTACGATTTGAACCGGAGACCTTTTTCGGAAGGTTCTCCCTCCTTATAAGCACCTCGTCGCCGTGTATAGTGGCAAAGAGTGTCCCAGCTGCCAGGAGATTGCAACAGAGGACAGGTGGAAGCTTCTGAGGAAGAAAACAGCTGGGAAGCTTCTGAGGAAGAAAACAGCTGGGAAGCTTCTGAGGAAGAAAACAGCTGGGAAGCTTCTGAGGAAGAAAACAGCTGGGAAGCTTCTGATGGAGAAAACAGCTGGGAAGCTTCTGAAGAAGAAAACAGCTGGGAAGCTTCTGAGGAAGAAAACAGCTGGGAAGCTTCTGAGGAAGAATACAGCTGGTAAGCTTCTGAGGGAGAAAACAGCTGGGAAGCTTCTGAAGAAGAAAACAGCTGGGAAGCTTCTGTGGAAGAAAACAGCTGGGAAGCTTCTGAGGAAGAAAACAGCTGGGAAGCTTCTGAGGGAGAAAACAGCTGGGAAGCTTCTGAAAAGAAAACAGCTGGGAAGTTTCTGAGGAAGAAAACAGCTGGGAAGCTTCTGAGGAAGAAAACAGCTGGGAAAATTCTGAGGGGAATATCAGCTGGACAATACATAGAGAGGCGGTTCAGCAGCAGCCAATAAGTAGAAATGAACGTTAATGTATGAGGCATAGAACAGCCGATTTCAGCTTGTCCTGGAAGTGGGAGAGCAGACAGCGTACACTGTATAATCACAGTCTCGTACAGTGCCACTCTGCTGGGGTTTGTAGACGGTAACCCGCTCACCCATAAGGCCTGCTGCTTCAATGACCGGGGAAGTGCCACTCACCAGAATCAGCAGGAGTGGGAGCAGACAGAGTGCACTGTATAATCACAGTCTCATACAGCGACACTCTGCTGCGGTCCCTAGACGGTAACCCGCTCACCCATAAGGCCTGCTGCTTCAATGACCGGGGAAGTGCCACTCACCAGAATCAGCAGGAGTGGGAGCAGACAGTGCACTGTATAATCACAGTCTCGTACAGTGACACTCTGCTGGGGTTTGTAGACGGTAACCCGCTCACCCATAAGGCCTGCTGCTTCAATGACCGGAGAAGTGCCACTCACCAGAATCAGCAGGAGTGGGAGCAGACAGAGTGCACTGTATAATCACAGTCTCATACAGCCACACTCTGCTGCGGTCCCTAGATGGTAACCCGCTCACCCATAAGGCCTGCTGCTTCAATGACCGGGGAAGTGCCACTCACCAGAATCAGCAGGAGTGGGAGCAGACAGAGTGCACTGTATAATCACAGTCTCGTACAGTGACACTCTGCTGGGGTTTGTAGACGGTAACCCGCTCACCCATAAGGCCTGCTGCTTCAATGACCGGGGAAGTGCCACTCACCAGAATCAGCAGGAGTGGGAGCAGACAGAGTGCACTGTATAATCACAGTCTCATACAGCCACACTCTGCTGCGGTCCCTAGACGGTAACCCGCTCACCTATAAGGCCTACTGCTTCAATGACCGGGGAAGTGCCACTCACCAGAATCAGCAGGAGTGGGAGCAGACAGAGTGCACTGTATAATCACAGTCTCCTACAGTGACACTCTGCTGGGGTTTGTAGACGGTAACCCGCTCACCCATAAGGCCTGCTGCTTCAATGACCGGGGAAGTGCCACTCACCAGAATCAGCAGGAGTGGGAGCAGACAGAGTGCACTGTATAATCACAGTCTCATACAGCGACACTCTGCTGCGGTCCCTAGACGGTAACCCGCTCACCCATAAGGCCTGCTGCTTCAATGACCGGGGAAGTGCCACTCACCAGAATCAGCAGGAGTGGGAGCAGACAGAGTGCACTGTATAATCACAGTCTCATACAGCGACACTCTGCTGCGGTCCCTAGACGGTAACCCGCTCACCCATAAGGCCTGCTGCTTCAATGACCGGGGAAGTGCCACTCACCAGAATCAGCAGGAGTGGGAGCATTCAGCGTGCACTGTATAATCACAGTCTCGTACAGTGACACTCTGCTGGGGTCCCTAGGTGGTAACCCGTTCACCTTAAGTCCATTCGTATCCTCTGGAAAATAATAGACCAACGTTCCCTGGGACAATGAACAGCGAGGGAGGAGGACGCAGGGATCAGAAGTTGGGGGAACAAGGCCAGTGAGTTTCCAAGGTGGTAACCCGTTCGCCTTGAGTCAATTGGTACCCTCCGGAGAATAATAGACCAACGTTCCCTGGGACAATGAACAGCGAGGGAGGAGGACGCAGGGGTCAGAAGTTGGGGGAACAAGGCCCGTGAGATTCCAAGCTGGTAACCCGTTCACCTTGAGTCAATTGGTATCCTCCGGAAAATAACAGGCCAACGTTCCCTGGGATAACAACGAGGGAAGGGATGGTGGGGAGAAGAGGAGGTGGTGGGGTTGTGCAAGGGGGAGTGGTGGCGAGGCGGGAAGGACAATTATCACCGTCTCATACAAAGTTGGGGGCACCAGAGTTACCTGTGCCTAGAAAACAACTTTTGAGATGTCTCATAAGTCGACAACTATCACCGTCTCATACAAAGTTGGGGGCACCAGAGTTACCTGTGCTTAGAAAACAACTTTTGAGACGTCTCATAAGTCGACAACTATCACCGTCTCATACAAAGTTGGGGGCACCAGAGTTACCTGTGCTTAGAAAACAAGGGAGGCGGGCGAAAAGGGAGGGCAGGGAGGGCGAAAACAGGAGCCAATAGGAGCGAATGGATGGTTGGATGGGTGGACTTACCCTCCTCTCCCCTCCAGTGCCCATCGGAATAGCCTTGGGTCCCTCCAGGGAGATTCAGAGGCACGTCTCCTCCTTGCTCGCTCCCCCACAGGTACCTCCAGCGAGTAGGAACGTGCGCACGTGTCATTGACTCTCCATTCAATAGGATCCTGCCACGTGTCCGTTCCAGAATAGCCCTGGGTCCCTCAAGGGAGATCCACAGGCACGTCTCCTCCCTGCTCCCCCACAGGTACCTCCCTGCCCGCCCGTGAACCCAGCGCAGCAACCCGGCAGCCATGTGGTGCGGTGTGGTGCGGTTTGGTGCGGTGCGGTGTGGATGGAAGGATGCTTTAGTCCTCACCGGAATAGCCCTGAGACCTTCAAGGGAGATCCAGAAGCACGTCTCCTCCCTGCTCCCCCACAGGTACCTCCCTGCCCGTGCGCTCAGCGCAGCAACCAGGCAGCCGTGCTGTCCAGTGCGGTGCGGTGCGCATGGATGGATAAATGGATTGACCCTTCCCTCCCCTCCAGTGCGGACCGGAATAGCCCGGGGTCCTTCAAGGGAGATCCACAGGCACGTCTCCTCTCTGCTCCCCCGCAGGTACCTCCCTGCCAGCGCGCCCAGCACAGCAACCAGGCACCCTTCCGGTGGGGTGCGGTGTAGTGCGGTGCGGAGGGATGAATTGACCCTCCAGTGCTTACCATAATAGCCCTCGGTCCTTCAAGGGAGATCCACAGGCACGTCTCCTCCCTGCTCCCCCACAGGTACCGCCCTGCCCGCGCGCCCAGCCCCACGACTGCAAAGGCGGATGCGTGGAGGCGGTGGGACGAGGCGAAGATGAACGTTGGCATGCCGTGTGGAGCGAAGAGGGCTGGGGAAGAGAGGGGGGAGAAAGGGGAAGGTGGTATTTTAAGCTGACTGGGCGACACATCGACACATGCAGGCGGTGGGATGGGGCGAAGATGAGCGTTGGCATGCCGTGCCGGGTGAAGAGGGCTGGGGGAAAGGAAGGGGGAAAAAGATGGGGGTTTCGACGATGGGTGGAGAAGGGAGATAGCTTCCCACATGCCCAGCCCCACGACTGCAAAGGCGGACGCGTGCAGGCGGTGGGACAAGGCGAGGATGAACGTTGGCATGCTGTGTGGGGCGAAGAGGGCTGCAGGGGATGGGGACGGAGGAAAGGGAGGTGGGGGCACCGATGAGGGGGGACAGGGGAGTGAGGTGGTATTCTGAACTGACTGCAAAGGCAGACGCGTGCAGGCGGTGGGATGAGGCGAAGATGAAGGTTGGCATGCCGTGTGGGGTGCTTATCTTTTGAGTCGACTCAAAAGGGGTGCTTACCCAGGGCTCTAACTCCACTCAGAGACATTGATGACAGGAATGATTCTCAAGCCGTACGTTCAGCTTTTGAGTCGACTCAAAAGCTAATTCCACTCAGAGACATTGATGACAGGAATGATTCTCAAGCCGTACGTTCAGCTTTTGAGTCGACTCAAAAGCTAATTCCACTCAGAGACATTGATGACAGGAATGATTCTCAAGCCGTACGTTCAGCTTTTGAGTCGACTCAAAAGCTAATTCCACTCAGAGACATTGATGACAGGAATGATTCTCAAGCCATACGTTCAGCTTTTGAGTCGACTCAAAAGCTAATTCCACTCAGAGACATTGATGACAGGAATGATTCTCAAGCCGTACGTTCAGCTTTTGAGTCGACTCAAAAGCTAATTCCACTCAGAGACATTGATGACAGGAATGATTCTCAAGCCGTACGTTCAGCTTTTGAGTCGACTCAAAAGCTAATTCCACTCAGAGACATTGATGACAGGAATGATTCTCAAGCCGTACGTTCAGCTTTTGAGTAGACTCAAAAGCTAATTCCACTCAGAGACATTGATGACAGGAATGATTCTCAAGCCGTACGTTCAGCTTTTGAGTAGACTCAAAAGCTAATTCCACTCAGAGACATTGATGACAGGAATGATTCTCAAGCCGTACGTTCAGTGTCACCCGGAGGGTTATTAGGAATATTCTGAGAGTTATTAGGGTTACGTTGAAGGGTTATTTTCGGGCTGGTACAGTAGCTGGGTGAGACTCGTCAAGGAAATGTGATTCCATTGAAGGATAAGGACGATAGTGACTGTAATGCAGGATAGATAGGGTTATCTTGAGGATTGATCGCGGGTTGGTAGGGTAGCTGGGTGAGATTCTGGCACTCCTTGGCGAAAATTGTGACTCTATTCGGGGATGCAGACGACAGTGACTGGATAATCAGGGTTACCTTGAGGGTTGTTCGCGGGTTGGTAGGGTAGCTGGGTGAGACTCTGACACTCCTTGGCGAGAAATGTGATTCCATTGAGCGAGACTGACGGGAAGAGTGACTTAAACGGGGTCGGTATTATCGAGGGAAGGGTGGGATTGGGGAGGTACGAGAGCGACCGGCGGTGCCAGATGTTGTGCGAGACGAGCACGAGGAGACATAGGATGAATGAATAATGGAAGAGCGGTGACATGGTGTCGAAAGTCTCCGCGTAAAACGGATGATGTATCACACGCCGTAGTTGCTCCAATGAAACTCTTTTTGGAATCTCTGCTTAGCCCGCTGTAACACCCCCTCCCCCTCGTGATTCTACTCTGCCTGTTCAAGTATACTCTAAAGCACAATCAGGATGAAAGCGCATCACAGACGCCATTGCGGCGGTTGTCCCTAGGTTTCCCGCCAAAACGCCACATTGGGAATTTAGGACCAACAGTACAAATTTGGGTTGGTGAGCTTGACAGTTCGGGACTCCAATTGCTTGTGCCTCGGAGTGTACACACCCTGTTTTTCTTGCTTATTTGCAGGCGAATTTTCATTACCACATCTTTCTCCACTCCCACTTTTCACAAATAAAGGTTGCGACATTTGCAGAAACTATATTCCAGCATCATCACAAGATAACCAATCTGTGGACTTCACAAATATGAACGCAATGCCTACGGGCAGCCGATTATTCCCGATTTCCTGGTTGAAACTTCGAACCAGGTCATCTGCTCTGACACACACTTTTGAAACCTCCATACCAGGCCAAGCGACCCGTTTTCGAGTCTTGGTCATCACAAATCTAGTTCTCTCAGCTGCTCCTCTCCCATTCCCCTTCCCTCATTCCAGCTCTTTGCTCCAGCATCAACACATTCTTAGCTCCTTCCTCATTTTTGTCTAGATTGGTCTGTTACTGACCTCGTCGATTTCTTGAACTATGAAGGACTTTTTCAGTGTTCGTCGATCTTTATCTTCCGCTAGCTAAGTAGCGACAGTGTGCTTCTACGCGCCACCTTTTCTGAAAGCAAGTAAGCAGCGAAACTCGTTCTAGTCGGCGGTGATTTGTACTCAGAACTCGGTAGTCACTCGGTTTTACGCTCGCGTGCACGTATTCCCTGTACAACAGAGGTGTTTTGAGTCAAAATCTAGAATCGCATGCTCGTACTTCCTGTACAGCACAGCACGTCTTGCTTCGGTCATCCCGTCTAGCGCCACCCTTGAAGTACCAGACTTTCAAAGCCACGTCAGCATACATGTCGACATCCACGTCATCCGCCGCATCTCCACCGGCGGAATTGTACGAGCAATCCGTGGCGATCCTTACGCGTTTGACGGAGAAATGGAGCAACATGGAGGAAGAGGAAGCGAAGATTCGACGAGCAACTGAAGCTACCAAGAGGCTCGTGGGTGTCTGCGCTGAGAGGGAAAGAGCCATGGCCAGCCTGATCGACCGTACGTACCACAATTCCCCTTGCAGTCATTCTTTAGAAATCTCGAAAGGACGTGTACGAATGTGTGAGGTTTTCTGCAAATCCGTGGCGATTCTGACCCGGTTGACGGAGAAATGGAGCAACATGGAGGAGGAAGCGAAGATCCGACGAGCAGCGGAAGCTACCAAGAGGCTCGTGGGTGTCTGCGCTGAGAGGGAAAGAGCCATGGCCAGCCTGATCGACCGTACGTATGAATTCGCCGTGCAGTCGTTCTTTGAAAATTTCGTATGGTTTCGTGCGAACTTGTGCGAATCCGTGGTGATGTTGACCCGTTTGGCGGAGAATTGGAGCACCATGGAGCAACTGGTGTTACTATGCCTGATGCACCTGGTGTTCCTATGCCTGATGCACCCCTGTTTCGCCTCTCCCTCGCAGGCTCGCAGCAGGTGGTGTCGGAGATGAGGGAAAGAGTGGGGGAGCTGCAGAGGGACTTGGAGGAGGATGGAATCCATCCGTGACAGCAATAATAACGGAGGAGTGACCGTCCCTTGCGTTTTGTTCCCTGTGTGTTGCAACCCCCTCTTGCCTCTCCTTTTCAGGCTCGCAGCAGGTGGTGTCGCAGTGAGGGAGAGAGTGGGGGAGCTGCAGCGGGACTTGGAGGAGGATGGATGCAATTCATCCGTGGCAGCAATAAGACTAGAGGAATGACCGTGCCCTGTGTGTTGGTGTCACCCCTTTTGCCTCTCCCTTGCAGGCTCGCAGCAGGTGGTGTCGGAGATGAGGGAGAGAGTGGGGGAGCTCCAGAGGGACTTGGAAGAAGACTCAGCGAGGGTAGATGAGGCGAAGGAGCAGAAGGGCGAGCAGGAGGCGGAGATCAACGCCCTCGTGGAAAAGGTGTGCGTGGGTTCAGATGTCATTCACAGACTATATATGCAATCCAGTCAGTAATTCCAGAGGGATTCGGAGGGGGGAGCAGCGAGAGGTGAAGGAGCAAAAGATTGAGCAGGAAGTGGAGATCAGCACTCTCGTGGAAATGTGTATGAAGATTTGTTTTGAGACGTCTCAAAGCAAATTTTCATACACGTAGCGAGAGGTGAAGTGAAGGAGCAGATGGTCGAGCTGGAGGTAGAGATCAACGAGCTCATGGAAAAGGTGTGTGGGAGATTAGTCATGGACCGCAAACCGAGTGCAATCAATAGCTCACACCATGACCACGACCATGACGCACTCCTGGATGGTATGCACGCCACGACCATGACGCGCGCACAAGAGTTGACTTTTGAGTCGACTCAAAAGTCAACATGGTATGCACGCCATGACCATGACGCGTACACGATAACTGCATGAGAGTAGGTCTGTTTTGATGCGTTCAACTCAGGGGAGCAGCAGAACGAGCACAAGGTGAAGATTAGTGCGCTTGTGGGTAAGGTGTGCAGGGGTGATATGTCGAGTTTTTAGTCGACTCAAAACTCGACTCAGGAGCGGCGTTTGAGTCGACTCAAAACTCGACTCAGGAGCGGCGTTTGAGTCGACTCAAAACTCGACTCAGGGGAGGAGCAGAAGGAGCACAAGCTGGAGATTAATGCGCTTGTGGGTAAGGTGTGCAGGGGTGATATGACATGCACCGAATTCTGAGTTATCATGTGTTCACCGACTTTTACTGGCACGTAGTCTTGTCACGTGTTTGCTGCTGTCACACCTATGTACCCCGCCGGCTGGTGCACCCTTCTCTCTGCTCCACTGCAGGTGAAGGAGTATCAGACAAGGATCAGCAAGCTCGTGCGGCGGCAAGAAGAGCTTCGGGAGAAGCGAGCGAATCTTGAAGCAGATGCAGACCAGCGCACCACCAAGATACGGTGAGAAGGGGAAAGGGGATGGGTATAGATGGTTGGGAGGCTGAAGGAAGGAATTACGAGGAGAGCGAATCTTGAAGCAGATGCAGACCAGCGCACCACCAAGATGCGGTGAGAAGGTGGAAGGCGCTGGAAAAACAAGGGGGGGAGGGGGAGGGAAGGAAACGAATTCTGATGAGGGGGAGTCGTGAAGCAGATGCAGACTTGCGCACCACCAAGTTACGGTGAGGAGGTGGAATATGCCGGGGAAAGGAGGTGGGCAGGAGGAATGGGGAGGGGGGAGAGGGGGGAGGGATTTTTTAATGAGAGCGAATCTTGAAGCAGATGCAGACCAGCGCACCACCAAGATACGGTGAGGAGGGAAAGTAAGAAAGGAGAAGTAGGGAAGGGATGGAATGGGCGTTTATTGTTTATATATATATATATATATATACATATATACCTGCAATGACAGCAAGCGAGAGTTGAGGCGGATGCAGACTTGCGCACCACCAAGATACGGTGAGGAGGGGCAAGGAAAAGGGGAAAAGAAGGATGTGTGTCTGTGTATGTGTATTTGTGTGTGAGTGTGCATGACAGGTATCCATCCTTCTCCTCCCCACCTCATCCCCCTCTTTTGAGGCGCCTCATAAGTGTGCATGACAGGTGTCCATCCTTCCCCTCCCCACCTCATCCACCTCTTCCAGCCGCAGCAAGGAGATTGTTCCCTTCTCGGGCTTCACCAGCATCCGCCTGGATGTGGACGTGAAGGACCGGTTGTGGTGGCGTGTGAGATGATTGCCCATTCTCTCCCCACTGCACTGCACCCCTGCGTCTGACACCAGCAAGGAGATTGTTCCCTTCTCGGGCTTCACCAGCATCCGCCTGGATGTGGACGTGAAGGACCGGTTCGTCGGCACGTTGATGTGTGTGTTAATTGTCCATTCTCTTCCCTCTGCACCGCACTGCACTCCTCTCACCCACCAACAGCAAGGAGATTGTTCTCTTTTCAGGTTTCACCAACATCCGCCTGGATGTGGACGTGAAGGACCGGTTTGTCGGCACGTTGATGCACCCCTCAGGCAACCCCGAGCTCGCCAGGCCGGTTGACTTTAACACCTCTGCCGCCAACACCACCACCGTTGCGTACCAGCTCTGGAACATGGTATGAGTTGCGTACAACTCTTTTGGCACGTTGGTGCACCCCTCAGGCAACCCCGGGCTCGCCAGGCCCGTTGACTTTGACACCTCTGCTGCCAACACCACTACTGTCGCCTACCAGCTTTGGAACATGATTTGAGCATCATAGATTCACCCCTCAGGTGTATAGTTTGACACCCCTCAGGCAACCCCGGGCTCGCCAGGCCAGTTGACTTAGACACCTCTGCCGCCAACACCACCACCGTCACGTACCAGCACTGGAACATGATATGAGTAGCTTACTCTTTTGAGGCGCCTCAGAAGCTCGCCAGTCCCATTGACTTTAACACCTCTGCCGCCAACACCACCACCATCGCGTACCAGCTGTGGAACATGATATGAGCATTATATACTTCTGAATGGTTCTTTGGCACTATCACTCATGTTGAAAGCACTATTGGCTAAGGCCACCTATCGTTTCCAATAGACTTGGCCATCAGTAGATATTAGTCTTCCAATATCGTCATTGCCAGCAATTTATATCAGCAGTGGCGAACTAGAGGGCTGTGAAAAAAATGTTTTTTACTACAATCTGAGCCAAACGATTGTTGATTCGGCTTGTGTACAGTAATCAGATGGCGCTCATTGGCGCTCTGCTACACCAGCACCACAGTGGGGCACAGCTGGACATTAAGATATTATCTGTTACGAGTGCAATTGAGTGAACGAACGAGAATTGCACTATCGAAGCAAGAGTACAATGAGCGAAGGCATGAGCGAAGAATATATAGCGAAACTAGAGTGGTAACGGTAATGAACTGTGGTTGTCGCGCGACGGGCCTGGGACTGAGGTTGGGAAAAATGTCGAAGCGGAGGCCCGGAGCGCGGGTTACCCGCCGAGCCGTGAGGTCGGGGTGCGACGTGCGAAGGTGGCGGGCGGATTGTCGATGCGAGGATTGGTGCTGACTGTGGTGCTACAGTGATGTACGCATTGAGCAGGGACGCGAAGTAAGGAAAAATATATTTTCCTTACACTACCCCCCCCCCCCCTTAAGGAGGTCCTCCTTACGAAAGTGCGTGTACATCCCCGAAATTCCGGCTGCGTAGATACTCGGTGAGGACGGGGTGGTTTTCGATTCTGTCCAGGGGAACCCAATTGTCTTCGGTGGGTGTACGGTCCTTCTAGCGGAGTAAGAACTCGATCCTTCGGGCTCCTCGAGGGTCGCGAACTCTGTGACTCAGGATTTTCTCGGGGCTGATGATTGGTTCAATCGGTGGTCTTGTCATGCTGGCTGGGCGATTGCGTGGCAGTTGGTTCGTGGACGGGACGTAACGGCGAAGCAGGCTGACGTGGAACGAGGGGCTGACGTACCAGTCAGCAGGGAGGAGGAGGTGGGCGGTGACAGGTGTAATCATGAGGCTTATGCGAAATGGCCCGCAGTATCGGGGGCGGAGTTTCGGGGTGATGGGGCAGTCGGAGATTTTGGGTGTCGAGCAAAACTAAGTCGTCGGGCTGGTAAGTGACAGGTCTGCGATGGCGGTCGGCGTTTCGTTTAGCGATGATGTTAGCTTTTTTAATTGTGTCTGCTGCCCTGGTCCGTGCTGCTTGCAAAATTTCGGCGAACTGTTGCGCGCGTGGAACCGGGTTGTCGGGATTCGGGGTCATGGGTACTGTTGGGTCTTGTCCGTAATTCAGGTAAAACGGTGACTGTTGGGTCGTGGCGGATGGGGCGTTGTTGTATGCGAATTCGATGAGTGGCAGTTGCTGTTCCCACATGTTTGGGTCGTCGCACGTGGCCCGGATGAGCTGTTCCATGGTCTGATTTGTCCGTTCTGTCTCTCCGTCTGTTTCGGGATGGTACGATGAACTAAACTGTAGTCGCGTGCCGAACTGCTGCCACAGGTCCGCCAGAAGTTGCTGGTGAATTTCGTGTCTCTGTCACTGATGGTTGATGCTGGTATCCCATGCAGTCGAACGACGGTAGAGATGAAGAGGCGGGCTGTTTCTTCGGCTGTGATTGATTTTTTGCAGGCTGCGAAGTGTGCCATTTTCGTCAGTCGATCGACGACGACCACGATCGCTGAGGAAAGTAGAACGAGAATGAATGACTAAGGAATGGAAGTGATACAAATATGCAACCCTAGAAATGTGTACCCCATATAGGCTACCCCACTATAGCCTACACAATATTATAATTTGACACACCCCCATAGGCAAAGTGGGGGAGAACAAGGGGTCACAAGACCAGTCAAGCAAAGCAGACAAAGCTCAGGGTGGATCACAACGTCACCACACAGTCCGAGCACAAGGTCAAGGCCATAAGGCCACTTCACATGCAGAGTACACATATATATATAAGGCTAAACAAGCAAGAGCAGGTATATATATATGTAAGAGAACAAGCAAGGTCAAGGGGTGAGCAAGTGAGGCAAGACGGGCACAAGACCCAGCTGAGTGCAGAAGCGCTGATGATCACAAGGCGGAAGTGCCTTGGTGAAAACATCAGCACTGTTGGCCTCAGAGGCCACGTACGCAAGTCGCAACTGACCACGATGCTGCAACTCACGAGCAAGAAAGTAGCGGAGAGCAATGTGCTTCGTTCTATGCTCCAGGCGGTGCTCCCGACACAAGGCTAGCATGGCCTTGTTGTCTACGTACAGCACCGGAGGAGAACGAGGCGGCTCTCCGAGGTCAGTCAGCAGGTAGGTAAGCCAGCGAAGCTCCTGTGCAGCCATGGCCCCGGCGTAGATCTCAGCCTCACAACTGGAGCCGAGAACAGAAGACGAGCGAGTAGCCCGCCACGAAACAGAGCCGGAACCAAGGCTGAAGGTGTAACCCTGTGACGACCGCTGCGTAGCCTGGTCGTCTGCCTAAGAAGCGTCCGCGTGCCCAGTGAGGACCACTGGACTCCGCCCTCCAAGCACTAGCCCCATGCCCGACGTACTGCACAAGTAGCGCAACACCCTCTTTGCTGCAGCCATGTGCTCTGGTCTGTGTCTCCCAGGAGCAACATAGCGTGCAAGAATGCTAAGAGGGTATGCAAGGTCAGGTCGTGTGCAGTTCATCAGGTACATGAGGCAGCCAACAAGCTCTGGGTGCGGGCCACTCTACTCTACGGACTCATCCGAAGGCAGAGCTGAGAGCGAGTGGCGAGTAGACAGAGGAGTGGCCTCAGGCGAGGAGTACGTGAAGCCGAAGCGCTGAAGGACCTGCTGCACCATGTGTGACTGAGTTAGGGTAATGGTGCGGCGTGCTCTGTCCCGGGTGATCTGCAAGCCAAGGTAGCTGCGCAGTTCACCCAGATCTGTGCACGTGTGTCTCTTCTGCAGCTCGGACTTCACGTGGGCGAGTCCAGCAGTGTCAGCTGTGGCAAAGACCAAGTCGTCGACGTACACGAGGATGTAGAACGGCAACAGAGAGGTGTCGGTGCGTAGAAACAGCGACGGGTCGGCAGTAGAGGGAGCAAACCCAAGAGCCGCAAGTGTAGTCCTCAGTGTGTCGTGCCACTCGCGCGGTGCCTGGCGGAGACCGTAGACTGGCCGTCGGAGGCTCCACTGGGTGCCAGGAGGGAAAGTCCCAGTGAAGCCAGGTGGACGGCGCAACCAGATCTCCTCGTGCAGGCTACCCTACAGGAAAGCGGTGCTGAAGTCAAGGGAGTGAAGCTCGTAGTCACGCTGAGCGACTACGTGTAGCAGCACCCGAAGAGTGGTCATCTTCGGGGTGGGAGAGAAGGTCTGAAAGTAGTCAACTCCCTGCCGCAGATTGAAGCCACGAGCCACGTACCGCGCCTTGAAGACAGGTGGAGAGCCCGGCGGCCGCTTCACCCTGAAGATCCACATGCCACTGACGATGTTCGCCCCAGGAGGGGGAACCGCGTCAACGTAGGTGCCTGTGGACTTCCAAGAAGCCATCTGTGCATCCATAGCTGCCTGCCACTGAGAGGAGTAGGGACCCTCTACGGCCTCCGCGTAGGAGCGCGGAGTCGGGATGTCTAGTGCATCCGGGTCTCCCTCAGGGGTAAGCAGTACGGACGCGAGATGAGGTGAAGCAGCAGCCAGACACTAGAAATCCTCCTGCCTGTCCTCAAGGACGTCCGTGCCAAGAGCACACTCACCCCCGACGGACGGAGGACAGACAGACGTAGACTCAGTAACAAGACTAGCAGCGTAGTCAAGACCACAACGAGCAGCAAAGTCGACGAGCTCAGCAACAAGAGCAGACGCAGCAGTGGACTCAAAAGAGGGGTCAGTGACGACAATAGCAAGGAGACGCGTGACAGTAGGACTGGCAGCACGAAGAGAGTCCGACTTAGGGTCGGCAAGCGCATGAAGAGAGGACTCAGGAGGAGAGGGCAAAGGGGCACGCAGAGGAGCAGTGGACGGACGCAGAGACATCCGGTGCGTGCCAGGGACAGGAGGAGGACGCTGACGCGAACTGCGACCACTAGTGCGAGCAGCACGAACAGGCGACGCAGGACGAGACGCAGGCTCACGTTGCTCAGCAAGACCTCCAGTAGGACCAGTGTATGGAGAAGGAGAAGGCAGTGGGGAGGCCGGCGGTAACTGTGAGTATGACTGGACAGGCGGTGGACACTCTAAGGGAGGAGGAAGACCAAGAACCTGCTGAAGGAGCGGAACAAAGTACGGCCGAGGCCGCGCGGCGACTCCGGACACAGCAGGGACAGCACCAGCACCCCCAGTGGCAGCACCAGCGTCAACAGCACCTCCAGCTCCAGTACCTCCAGCAGCACCAGCAGCACCCGCAGCAGCAGGACCGGCTCCAGAACTGATAGCAGTAGCCTCAGCGCCAACACCCTCAGCAACTCTGACTCCAGTAGCACTCGCAGGACTAGCACCTCCGAGACCGGCGGCACCAGCACCCTCAGCAGCCGAAGAAGCACCAGCTCCAGTAGTACGCCTCCAGCGCCGGGCAAACCACTCGCGCAGCTCCTGTGGAGAGAGTGGCTCCCGTCGAGACGAAGCATCCGGAGAACCACCAGGCCCAGCACCGCCAGACGCCACACGAGCAGG